AATTAAAGCATTCATCAATTGGTTTCAATTGCCAAACAGTTCAGCTAGAATTTAATTTACAGACAGTCTCGTAAAATTACTTACATGCAGTGTGACTTCCAAGCTCTGTGTACTGGAGAGTCTCAGAAGTGTCTCTTTTTCTTAGGGAAGGGATGGCACTTCAGTTCTCCTCCCTAGCATGATGGGACCAATTATCACTAGCTTTAAGGAAAGACCTGCCCTTGAAGCTGCTGAGTAAACTGAGGTATAGCTGCTGCCTTTTATCCAGAAATTCTCTTTGAATATGCTTTGCATACACAGTAACCAACTGGTCGTTTTAAGTAGTTTGTATAGCCACCTTCCTACTGGAATTTATAAAAAATCCAAAAATGCTAAATTTTAAGATTGAAATTTAAGGTTGGGATATCTCTCTTCTTTCCTTTCAGATATCCCTCTCAGAAGGAAAGAATTGTGCTAGATAGTGGCTTGGGAGCCATACAAACCTGGAATCAAATCCTGGCTCTACCAGCTACTACATATTTATCCTTAAGTTACTTAATTTCTCAGAGCTTCGGTTTTTTTCTCCTGTAAATGAAGGTATCACTGACTCGGTGAGGGTGTTCAAACCCAAGCTCCTGGTCCGTCCTTGATCTTACAGAGAGTTCTTAGGATCCACAAAAGTGGCCATCAAAAAATAAATACTAAATTGGAGGTATATCCCATCCCAACCATACTAATTTATGTCTCTGTGAGATCAAATAAAAAATAGTCTGATGTGCAATAAAAATGCAAAATAAAGGTATTCTGAAAGAACTCGTATAGACCCTACAAGTCCCCAGAGTTATTGGGATAAAACGCAAGGTTTTTGGTGGCCAGCTTGGCAGAGCCTCTGAGATGGTGATGCTGACCATAGGTGGGCTTTCTAGTCTTGTGAGAGGCATATTAAGTTTCTGGAGGACCACCAACCAAGGAGTGTTCCCTCACAGGGAGGCTGTGACCCCCTGCAGGTGGGAACTGCTCTCCAGGGGAGTCACAGTTTGGGTTTATGTGTGTGTTTGTGTGTTGCACAGAGTCTACTGAGAGCAGTTGACTGGTCTTTCATTTGACAGGTGTACGCAATTTCCTTTGAATGCAAGAAGACTCGAGAATCCAGTACAGTTTGATAGTAATAAAACTTTCTCAACTAATCATCATGAAGCTGAATTTAAAGCCATAATCCAGGTTCTAAAAATTGCTTTATAGCAAATATATTTCCTGAAGAGCATCACTGGAGATCCGAGGAGTACAACAATATTTAGACAACTCTCACTAAGGCAAACTGTACTGTCTCCTGGCATATGATATCTAGATTTAGCTGGTCTCCAGCAGGTATAGCATGAAGCGAGAAGAGTGTACCTGGGTACTGACCTCCATTCTATGTTCTGGCCATGAAATCAATTCTGAATTAAATCCAAGATACTAAACTATCCTCAGCACTGGAATCTAAGGCTCTACTTAATAAGATTATAAGTTGCTTCTTTCTAGCATTAAACTCAAAGTGCTCAGGTGACTGTTTCTAATTAAAGATCCTTTCATCATCAATACTTTGTCCTATTTATAAATGAATTTTTAATGAATTACCACTAAGTGTTAACCACCATAAAACAGAAGAAAATATGTGAAAAGTGTGATCTTTACAAAGAGACTTATGTTTTAGTTTCAAGATACTGTCATGGGGAATATTAATTATCACTACAAAGAACCTTGTTAATAATCCCCCAATAAACTCCTCTTCAGCCTACCTCTGTTCTTACTTATAAGCATTTTTTAGATTTTCGTTCATCTTTTCCCGCCACTGCTGTTTTACCCAACCTAATCACTTCACTTGAAACAGAATGCAAAAAAAAAAAGAAAAAAGAAAAAAGAAAAAAAGAAACAGAACACAGCCCTTAGTGTTATTTTTAGTTCTAATGTTTTATAAAATCGACCAGTCTTTGTATATTCCTCGGTTGTAGAACTTTTGAAATGAATACGGTACTGATGCATTAAAGGATAGAGAAGAAAGACAGTATTTAAGATTTGTGAAATCTTGTCAAAATATGTGGCAGATACCAATAGTGACATGAGTAGCTCTGCCTCCATTATGTACAAAGAAACCATTTTATTTTTTCCCAGATCACTCCAATTCAAAAGACTTGGGTTAGGGAAGCAAACTTCCCTTTCTATCTCTACCAATAAATAGCAAGAAAAACTGGGGAGAGTTATATTATAAGACCTTCAATTACGAACTACTTTCAAGAACCACTTTCTATTATAATACGTGGGTTAATGAAAGTATGGTTATATATGTAAAGGAAAAAAGTATTAGGAAATTGAGAGAGTTGTAACCAAATTTATACTGAATTTTGGTTCCCCCCCCTTTTTTTTCTCTCATTGATATTTTATTAACTGGTAAATATTTACATTTTGATGTCAATTATTTCAAACTGGTTGGGAGAAGATATAAGGGTGGGTATTTAGTTCTTGTCAACTACTAAAGGCCAAAGTCAAGATAAAAAAGAAAAACCCATGTCTGTTCACTCACCCAACATGTATTGATGGAAACTCTACTATATGTAAAGCTTTTAGTGAAGCACAAAAAGAAGTAAAAAAATATTTAACACAGAGCTTGTCTTCGGGGTGCTCATGAGAAATTATCAGAATAAATCAGGTAAAAATATTGGCTGACCATTACAAACAGCATATTCTTCTAAGAATGATAAATCTGGTATCATCGTCATACTTTGAATAAAGATTCTAGGGGGAAAATATTGTAGGAATTATGGAGGCCTTTCAGCTTTCTATATATTCCTACGGTCTGGATTTTTTATAAGCGTATACTATTTTTATAATTAGGGGAAAAAATCTAGACCAAAGTATAAACATTTATGAATAAATACTACAAGGAAATAAGTGAATATATGATATTTGTTGACTTAAGTTGGTGCTTATGGTTGGGTTTCTATCTGTTTTAAAGTGTTTTGTTGTTTTAATAGAATTTCAATGCCAGACATAATTCAACAATAAAGGAAGTGTATGGAAAATTTAAGTTCTTTGATTTGAATAATCTGTATTGTGTGTTAGGAGTGGAAGCCTCGTTAACCATTTTTATTTCTAGCTAAAGAGTAGGGCTGTGAAGAAAATAAAGGCATATTCTCTAATTCTCTGTGTTATATACTTTTTCAAACTATCGTAGGATGTCCAGTCTCAACTGAAAATGGAAGAATAAACTCCTATCACTCTACTTGTAATGATATATTTCATTATCATCTATTATTAGGGTAACTCCTCTCCTATCATTAAAATGAAACATGGTCATTTACGGTTCCCTGATTTCCAAATACTTTCATACTGTTAATACATTGTCCTGAAAAAAAAAAAAGGAAATTAAAACAATTTCTGGCTACATTTCAATGTGTCTAAGAGCCTCAGCATGAAAAGCATCATCAGCCTTGACCTTCATGTTTCTAGAAGGCTCCAGCTACATCAAATTGCAATGGGACCCTTCTTGACTTCACTTGGTCTCACTTACATCACCGACCATTTTTCAAATTCAGTAATCTTGTTTTTACTGTCACTTCAGGCTGAATCATTCTTTTCAGAAATGACACAGATTGTAGTATCTCTGCAGCTTTTCTTATTTAATACAACTCAACTGTCACCTTAAGTGAAAAAATTCTGTTGGAGAATGAAAAATCTTCTGTTAGTGAAGGCTTAGATCCTTCTGGCCATGAACAAAGGGTGTTTGGTACTTGCTAACGTCATTTAAAAATCATGTTATTTTGTAAAGTTAATCGTGGGTTTTTCCAAGTATCCTTTAAGCACTATTAAATTCATTTATGCATTTTGCAAGCTAATGGGGAGCAGGAGTGGGGAGGGAAGGCTCTCCATGTCTAGTCCCAGGCCACAACCCCAGCCAGGCAGGAACGAGGCAGTGAAGAACATTCTTATCGGCAATTTTAGTATAAATTAAGGCCTGATCTCAAATTCCATTTTCGTGGTAGTTGTGTTTACATTGGAGAATTCATTTACGTTCTTTTTGAAAATAACACTTAAGTACTTCTATTACCCGAAATTACATTTGTCAGAGTCCTATGTAGGGACATTTTAAAGTTAACAAATAGGTCTAGGATGTGGAACTGGATATAAATGAACTCATATATGCATGTGTGGCTTTTGTAATGGAGCTCAGGTATGTGTTCACAGTGCTAACTGGGAGAGACTCACGGTTTTCTTTCCAGGTGACTGGCGTGACTCCATACACAAAACCAGAGGGAGCAGAGTAGGCCCGGAATAGGTGGACATGCGCAGGGCTTGGCTTCAAGTGGGCTCACTGACAATTAAAATGTCTTTATAAGCCAGGACCTAGGTAAAGCAGCTTCCGAACTTTGGAGAGGACTGTTTTCTTTTATTTTCCAAAAAGCATCCTAGCTTTATTCTTATTTATAACTAAAAACTGAAGTCAAAGTTGTTTTGATGAAGTTCTTAGAAATTACTAAGAGAGAAGGATACTTTCATCTTAAGAGACAATTAAGAAAAAACTTTTTGGGGATCCCTGGGTGGCGCAGCGGTTTGGCGCCTGCCTTTGGCCCAGGGCGCGATCCTGGAGACCCGGGATCGAATCCCACATCGGGCTCCCGGTGCATGGAGCCTGCTTCTCCCTCTCCCTCTGTCCCTCTCTCTCTCTCTCTCTCTGTGACTATCATAAATAAATAAAAATTAAAAAAACAAAAAAACAAAAACTTTTTGGTTCTGCAGCAAGACAAACTGGCTCTGAAATCATGATTTTAACAAGTCAACATCACCTTAAAATACCAAATCCTAGTGATATTTGGGGTGCTGAGTCTCAGAGCTCATATGCCCCAAAGCCACACCAGCTGGGTAAACTGCCAGGGGCAAATTAAATTAGCCTCTGGTTAGTTGACTGCAGTTTCAGCTGTATCTTTACGAACTGAAGGCAAAGCTCAACAAAGAACCCATAAAATGAAATGATGCAGACCAACCTTTTATTGCACCCACAATATTTTGGTCTAGTCCTTTCCGGTTGTCATTGAGTCCTCTTTTCCTCTTCCCATTGGGTAAGGAGTTAGCCAAAGTCTTGTCATCAAAAAATGCACACACCAGCTTTCTAAACAGAAGGCTTCCTGAGCGAGTGTAGTTTGACAATATAGAGTCCAGCTGTGATTTAGGCATGAACACATCAAAGCCTTCAGCAAGTTGCACTTCTGGCTACCAAAAGAACATAAATATTTCATTAAAAGCAACATTTGAAGCATTTGACTTTGGGCATATGCACAACAAAAAAACCATCACTAGCTACTGAAGTGTCTATATCCTACGAACAATGTGGTTTTGGCTCTGTGTGCTAGTATATGCAATTTATAAAACCAGTGACTAGTTGTTACAAAATAAGATGCTCTAATTCTAGCATTAAGTCTCTTTGAAAGCAACAGAGAAGAGTACCCTGAAAATATATTCTTGTCTTCAGAAACAGTCAAGAGAAGACAGATCATCACAAACTCATATAACTGTAGAGCTACAGGGGACTTGAGAGATTTCTGGGTGAAATACCCTTATTTTTTTAAATGAAGGAACTAAGGTCCAAAGAGATCATAACAAAATGACAAAAATAATCTGAATGTACTCAGTGCATTATGCTTTACTTTCTCCTACATTAAATAATTTCATTTCATTTGCCTAAACACGCAAATATGGGGCTACCCAGAGGCCTATGCTCTTTTTACGCTGCCAGTGGTTTTCAGTGGTGGGACTATATTTTTCTCCAGTGAAAACTTATGTAAACAAATACATAAAGTAAACAACGATGAGCAGGTGCCCCTGGCAGTTTCATTCTGCCTCTCACCCCTACTTTTGGAAGAAGAATCTGAAGCCATGTCCCAGATCACTACTGAAAAATCTACATACCAGTCATGCTGCTTCCCTGTCACGGATTTTCTGACTAGGATGCTGGAACAGAAGACCTATTAGGTGTCTTTCAACTCAGACTCTTAGTAGTAGGATATAAACTCAGATGGTAATAATTACTCTGTCAGCACTCCATGGATGCTTACAGCTTGTCTTTTCATCTGGCAACCTAGTGAATACTTGGATTTTCAAAACTTTTGCAAACGCCTTCCTTCCCATGGAGGTGGCCACGCATCCTGTCACTGGTATTTATGTGACATCCTTATATGGCTGCATTTATTATACTGTGTAATTATGTATTAGATTTTGGCCCTTCCTGACACCCACAACTCAGACTTTGTGTCTCTTGGGCCTGGCACATAGTAAGTACTCAATAAATTCTTGAGTAGCTAAAAGTTCATTAGTCATAATCTAAACTACTAAGTCATTTACTGTTGATTATAACATGATAACTCTGCAGGAGTAACTTTATTTTTTTAAATTTTTATTTACTTTTTAAAAAAGATTTTATTTATTCATGAGAAACACACAGAATACAGAGAGAGTAAGGGACATAGGCAGAGGGAGAAGCAGACTCCCCAAAGGGAGCCTGATGCAGGACTCAATACCAGAACCCCAGGATCACAACCTGAGACATAGGCAGATGCTCAACCACTGAGCAACCCAGGTGCCCCTAAAAGAGTAACTTTAATGAAGAAATGCAATTGGTAAACTTTTTTTTTATTGGTAAAGTTTCATAAGGAAAAAAGAAGAAAATCTCACATAAGTAAGATGTATTATAATAGCTTATTCTTAGATAATCGTACTTATCACTTTGCAAACCTGGTACGACTTTAGATTTTTAGAACCCTATTAGAAACAAGAGGATGTGGGATTAGGTTTTCTTCTGGAGAAGAGGAATTACTACTTTTGTTTGTCCTGGTGTTTCTCAAAATGCCTAGCACACTATGGTCAGAGGAAAGAGGGCATAAATGATTCAGATGATGTGGGCAGTTTGGGAGCTGCCCTTCCCAAAGGCAATTCTCAACTGGATTATCCACAAAGTCATCTCATGTCTCTGTTTCACTTTTCCTTTCAGCTTTTGGTCCCTGGATACTTGGGAAGTATCACTACACTAACAGTGCTGTCAGACTCGTTGCTGAGTTTTGGGTCCTGCTGCTGGTAAAGGGTGTGTAGGGGCATTGCTGGGAGCTGGGGGCTGTACCCCTGACTCCTGGAACAGAAGCTGGCTCACAGAGTGCTCAGTGCATGTTTGCTGAATGAGTTAATGTGGAAATATTAGACTGAGTGAATTTTATCAACATCATCTAAGATGAAGTTTTATTCATAACCAGAATTTTGCTGTGCCTATCTATGGCTGCATTTAGACCTTATTCTAAATGAACTGATCCCAGATTTTAGCTTAGTGTTCCTATACCATTTTTAATTTTTATTTTATTTCACTATTTATTATTTAAATGCAATTTGCCAACACATAGTGTAGCACCCAGTACTCATCATGTTCTTATGTCATTTGAAAGCCATTAAAAAAGGATTCCCAATTTACAGAAGCAGCTGCTTGTAGGTCTATGAAGGGCTCAGATGATACAGAAGCCCTTCAATTTTCAGGAGTCAAGAGGGGAAGACACCAACTGATCTCATTCATAGATCTCTGTTGAATTCTGATACCATCAAACAGGTGCTTAAGACTCAGCCACCTGACCTGAGATTCCCAGAACTTGCCTTTGGACTTACCCTATAGGGCTTGACCCTGGTTTGAGGAATACTGACCTCCTCTAGGTACTAGGCAAAAATGAGCCACCCCTTTCTTCACATACTCAGTCTTTTCTATGAACTGTGTTTCTAGCACTTTCCATGATGCATTTATTTGGTTGGGAGTTTGTTTCTCATGAGAACATGTGCTCTTTTGTATTCAGAGTGCCAAACGCCCTGTCATTGCCCAATAGATATTTGTCAGAATAAACAAAACACTATGTAAGAATTCATTTAAAATTCATTCATTCAAAAATAATATTGATTTAGAGACCTTTTAGCCCAACATGAAGGAAGTGTGCTTGAAAGCCTGCCAGGCCATGGTTCAGCGTACCAGACTTTTTGGGGCAGCACTTGTGCTAACTCAAGGAGCAGACTGCTTGGAGAACCTGACTTGGTCAAGACATATTTATTGTGTAACTCCACGTGCAAGGAGTTTCAAGTCAGGCTCACTAGATGAGATACATACACAAATATTACATAAAGTACAAAGTGATAAATGAGATGTGCCGGACGCGGAGCAGCATCTGGTGGGTGAGGGGGTGAGCGGGGCCGGGGAGGGGCAGGATAGTATTTTAGGAGGGCTGTCTGGCAGGGCTGAGGACACAGAGGCAGTTGCTGCTTCTAGAGCTTGCTGCCACTCCTGAAACTAAATATCTGGAGTTTTCCATGGAGCAAGGAGACTCCCCCTGGGATCATCTGGTCTTTTGATTTCTGAGACACTATCCTACTGCAGAAGCTGTCAGTGTTTCCCAGTCCACTACCTGCTGATGGACAGATCTTGTTATTTTGAAGTGTTCTTACCAGATCAAGGAACATGAACTCACCCAGTTATGAGCCTGGAGTCAGTTTTATTACTTGAGGTAGTAGCGGCAGCCAGGAGAGCAAGGGTGACTCATCTTTGCCTCCTTCCTGATCTTGAGGTCCTGTTAGGCAGATTTCTTAGCTCTTGTAAAGGGGCACTAATGCTGTGTCTACAAGGGACCCCAAAGCAACAAACCAATTCCTTAAAAAATGGGGTTGCTTTATTTTCTGAGACATGAAGAAAACTAATCTCAAATTTTTATTATGAAACCTTCTGATATCCTCCATTTTAGAGAGAAAATTGCAGTGTACTGTTATGTAGTGAGCACATATATTTAAAAATAGGTTAAAACTCCAATTGTACCATTGAATCTATTCCTTCTGTTAACTGGTGCTGGTTTATTTTATTTTATTTTTTCTGGTGCTGGTTTAAATGAGATCTCTGCTTATTAAGGATGCCTATGACAGAAACAACACTATTTCAAATGAGTATCATTTTACAAACAAGACTTTCTTTGACGGCATCACTGTCTGATATTTAAGCAAAGACAGATCGCTAATATACTGACAGGTTCTATTGTTTTCTGAGGGGTTGCGATCTTTAAAGGATGACACAAAATGTGGGGCGGAATTTACAACACTTAGAGTCATCATCTTAAAAGTTAAGAGTCTGAATTAGCTTTACAAATTTGGATTTTTATGATGTCTAGCCCTTTTTTTAAAAAATATTTATTTATTTATTTATCAGAGAGAGAAAGAGAGAGAGAGAGAGAGAGAGAGAGAGAGAGAGAGAGAGAGAGAGAGAGGCAGAGACACAGGAGGAGGGAGAAGCAGGCTCCATGCCGGGAGCCTGACGTGGGACTTGATCCCGGGACTCCAGGATCGCGTCCTGGGCCAAAGGCAGGCGCTAAACCGCTGAGCCACCCAGGGATCCCTCTGTCTTGCCCATTTTTGGTACTGCAGCTACTCAGCACCAGCGTGTATCAAATGTTGAATTTTCCTTATCCAGGGGTGTCATGTCTCACACCCAGTGAAGTTCTGGAGGCAAAAATCACGTGTAGTCATAATGACCCTTGAAAGTGTTTACGGACCCAGCCCTATTGGCAGTAACTCTCCTGCTTCTCTTTGCACTTCAGCTGAGGCCTTCCTTTGCTTAAGGTCAAGATCTAGTTCGTGTGGGGGAATCCTCTAATCAGGTAAATTAAAAGATTTCCCCTTCAGTCCCTATGAGTGAGCGTATCGTTTGATTCCCCTGTATGAAGTAAAATATGTAAAGCAATTTTAAAGAGATCATATCAAACACAGAGGAAACAATTCTGATAGAGGCTATTTTCCATAAGGTGTTAATCAATGCCAAATTATAGTAAAACATGCAAATAGCTAAATGTGGTCACTGGTTAAAAGAGTAAAAAGAATTGCATGAATATTCATATTGGACATTAACCTCAGATTTTCAATCACAAATTAATAAATTACACACAATAGTTGGTATACTCCAGTGGCTAGCTAGTTAAGTTTCAGACTGGCTCAAGGAAAAAAAAAAAACAAAAACATGGATGAAGAGGCAGGATTCTGTGGCCTAAAACTCCCTGATGTGGGACTGAAAACACATAACAGAATTTTTATTTTATTTTATTTTATTTTATTTATTATTTTTAATTTTTTCTCACATAACGGAATTTATAAGACTGTTTAAAGACTGTGAATTCAGTCTTTCCACTCCTAATACTTCCATATATGATGATCCT